GGGGGGGGGGGAGCGTCTGTCCTCTGGAAGCAGCCTCTTCAAACGTGTGCCTTTTCTCCCAGGATGAAGGCCTAGAGCAGATTAACAACAAAACCATCTGAGTTCCCCGTGGTTCCTCCCTGTGCAGGAGCCACGGGCCCAGCAGCATCATAGAGACACCCACGGGGTGCCTGAGCCCCTCAAACGCCCACTAACTGAACATGCACCTGCCAGGATCCCGCCAGCAGGTCATGGGGCTGCCCCCAGGGTGACTTGGTTTCTCTGCTTTCACAGGAAGGTCACTGCCCAGGTCCCCTCAGGTGCCTCGCCCGGGGCTGTCACACCCGTCGCCCCTGCCCCAACCCCGGCCGCCGAAGGAGCCCAGCCCCGGTTGCGCATTCGCCCCCCGCGGCCGAGGCCTGTGCCTGGCCCTGTGCAACAGCCCGGGAGCCGCTGATCCTTTCCGCAGCCGAGGGAGGAAATGCAGCGTCCCTGGGAGCCCGGGGCGGACGTCTCCAGCATCCTCCGCCCACGAGCGGGAGCGGTCTGGTGGCCAGGACAGCACCAGCTGCCCGCATCTCGTGACTGCTCCGTGGGCCGCTGGTTTAAAATAAGCAAGGTGCCTTTACCCACAAAACATTCCATCCTGGGAGCAGCGGGAGCGAGGCCAGCAGCCAGGGCTGGCGTGGCTCCAGGCCTCCTGCCCTCCTCTCCTGAGGCCGGACGCGCCTGCAGCAGGGGCCTGTGGGAGGGGTCCCTGCGCCGCCGGCGTGAGCCCCAGGGTCATGTCCACCCGTGGAGGTCGGGTGGCCGCAGTGACAGGTCAGCGGGGTTTCCCAGATGCCTCGTCCGTCTGGGATTAGCCCTGGTCAGGCAGCACAACGGCCCTGCCCTGCGGGTCCCGACACAGGCAGGGTGCAGGGGCAAACTTCAGCATTCCACAAATGAGCGTGGGGGCCAACGGGGGGGAATCCTGGAGGGCTCCTTGGAGAAGGTGAGGACGGTGGTTGGGGGGAGAGATGGACGTGGGCATGGAGCTCTGCAAGCCTCTGTGCTGGTCAGGCGAGGCTGCTCCGTGTCGTACCCGAGGAATCGAAGCCTGGAGTGGACATGCCGGCCACTGTGTCCAGCCGGCCGGTGGGGAGGCCAGGCTGACCCAAGCCTGGACTGCGGGCAGGTCCGCAGTGGGCTGGCTTCCTCGGGCCCCCAGCACGTCCCTGGCTTTGCTGCCGAATCAGCTCCCGGGCAGCCCGGTGTGACCCCAGGCAGCTGGTCTCTTTCTATCCCCAAGAACGGGATTTTTGAAGATTCTTGGGAGAGAGGCCCTTGGAGGCAACTCCCCCGACCTCTGCTGACCCTGAGGAGTGGGGGGGCCGCCCACGCGCGGGGGCTTTTCCCCCGGGCGCCTGGGCACTGTTCCAGAGCCCTCGGTGCAGAGGTGGTGATGAGGTTTCCAGCCCCGAGCTCGGGCTCGGTTACAGTGTGGGAGGCAGGGGCCTGACCGGTGCCTTCGGTGCCCATCCTGTCTCTGCTCGACCGTCTGTGCAAACCATCTGCTGCTTCTGGGGTCTCCTGGCCGCCCGTCCGGGCCGAGGAAGCCACGTCACTGTGGATGGCTGTCCACGGAGCAGCGTTGGTCCCGTCTCACGGCCTTTCCGGTGCCCAGGAAGGAGATGGTTTTCTCACGCCGCTAGGAGCGCAGCTATTGCCCTGTGGTGGGGTGTGGCCGGAGGCGGCTGGCCGGGCATCTGTCCTCCGTGTGTGTGGAGTGAATGAGTGATAGCCAGAGGGCCCCACCCTCTTTGGTGTTCACCCATTTTGCTGTTGACTTGGGGCAGGGACTGCGTTTGCCTCGGTCACTGTCATCTCCTGAGGCTGAGTCGGAGCCTAGCTTGGCCCCAGCTGACCGTTGGCTGCCCACCTCCCTCCAGTGGCGCCTCCAGGTGGGCGTGAGCGGGGGATGGGGCTCTTGGTTGAGTGGCTGCTGGAGCCTCTGCTCCCCTTGGAGGGTGTTGGTTCCCTCCAAGGGCAGCCCTAGGGGTCCTCTGCGGTGGAGTCAGGGTTCCATCCTGGGGGTGCCCTAGCCAGCAAGATGTCCCTCCCCACCCTCCCAGCGTCGGGGACCCTGTGGAGTATTGGTCCCTTCCATCTGGTTCGTGGTGTTTGTTTATTTTTTAACGTCCACAGGTTCTGTGGTGATGCCCCCTCACCGTTTCTGACGTTAGTTATTTGTCTTTTTTTGGGGGGGAGTGTTGGGGGGTAGCCTGGCTAGATGTTTCTAGGACCTTTTCAGTCTTTTCAAAGAGCCAGATTTGGTTTCATTGACTTTCTCTATTCCCTATTTTAAATTCCATTGATTTCTAATTGTAATTTTTATTATTTACTTTCTTCTGCTTACTTTGGATTTAATTTGTGTCTCCTTTTCTAGCTTCCTAAGGTGGAAGCTCAGGGCCTTGATTTTTAGAGCTTTTTTTCTTTTCTAATGTAGGCACTCAGTGCTATAAATTTCCCTCTGAGCACTGCTTTTGCTGCATCTCACAAATTTTGATAAGTTGTGTTTCCATTTTCACCGAGTTTGAAATCTTTTCAGTGTCTCCTGAGGCTTCTTTGTGTCATTTAGGGCGTGTTCTTGATCTGCCAATCTTTTGGGATTTTCAAGCTCTCTCTCTGTGTTGATTTCTCGTTAATTCCACTGTGGCCTGAGAGCAGACGCTGTATGGTTTCCACTCCTGTAAGTTTGTTCAGGGGCATGTGTGGCCCAGGAGATGGGGTGTCTTGGTAAATGTTTCGTGGGAGCTTGAGAAGGACAAGGTGCCCCGTACGTGTCAGCTGGATCGGTGCTGTTCAGGTCAGCTCTGCCCCTGATTTTCGGCCCACTGGGGCTGTCTGTCTGTCTGTCTGCCCACTTCTGGTAGAGGGGTGTTGAAATCTTCCATTATAATTTGGATTTGTCTACTTGTTGTAATTTTGCCAGCCTGTGCCTGCCACCTGCTTTACGAACAGACCTATAATGAACACCGTCCACCCCACCGGGGTGTCTCTGAGACCATTTAGAGTGCCAGCCCCTATATGCCATTCGGCAGTTTCATCAGCCGGGGCCCAGCCGTCGGGTATCTCAGATTTCCGTGACTCCTCACTGCACGTGGCCTCATCTTATGCACGGGTGGGGCAAAGTAGGTTACAGTTGTTTATACGGAAAATAACATAATAAATAACGCAAGAAAGAACTGTCCTTGGCCGGTGATCTCAGTGGTTAGAGCATCGGCCGGTGCTCCAAGGGGTCTTGGGGTCGATTCCCAGTCAAGGGCATGTACCTGGGTTGCAGGCTCCATCCCTGGCCTCGGTCGGGGCATCTGGGGGAGGCAGCCCGTCGACGTGTGTCTCTCTCGGATCCTTTTGTGTGTGTGTCTCCCTCCCTCGCGCTCTCTCTAAAAATCAGTGGAAAACATACCTGTGGGTGCCAGTTAACCAAAAAGAAAAAAGAAAGGAAAATAATAAACTGTTTTGAGTTCTCACAACTGGAAACTTACGTTTGCCTCCCCTGGACGGTTAAACTGTTTCTGAGGTGAAAACGCCAAGAGGAGTGCAGACAGCTCAGCAGGGCCCAAGGGCACGCTTGTTTTGAGAGGAAAAGCTCACCTTCACCAACCTGCACCTGCAGGTGTCCCCCTGCCCCGGGGCTCAGGGTGGCCTGGGCGTTGGGACACGGGGACCCCAGCCCGAGCGTGCACTGGGGCTCCCGGGCGGCGCAGCTCCCTGGACGCCCGGGTGGCATGGGCCTCCGTCCCAGACGCCACGATGCTCCCACCCAGAGTCCCAGCGTTCGTGTTTCTCTCTCCGACACAGGGCCCTTGTGGCTGAGGAACCTCCGCAGACTGGATGGCACCAGGTCCCCGAGGCCGAGGCTCCCCAGGGTCTATAAACACGTCTCATCCTCTGGAGGAGCCGGCGGCCTTGCTCCCCCCGCCGTCCCGGCCCTGCCTGAGTTATCACTGTTTATAGAGAATTATTTGGAACGTTACATCCAAGAGAGAAACGGAGCAAACGTTCACCCAAACAGTGGAAACGCCTGAACACAAACTGGGGACGCCAAGTCTGGGGCCCCGAAACGGAGCCCCGGCCCCTCGCTGCGACGGGCTGGTGCTGTCCACTGGGGTGGCCCCGCCCAGGCCGCGTCCTTTCTCTGAACAACAGCTGCAGGTCCAAGCCAGGGACCGGGCTGTGCTTCCGAGGCAAACGCAGCCGTTTCTGAAGGAGATGGGACGTGTGAATACACTTTCCCCTTAACTCAGACACACGTCGGCTTGCGCCTGCGCTCGCTTCCCGCGTGCGGTGGGTCTTGTCTTTTTTTTAATCCTTACCTGCGGAGTGAGGATATTTTTCCATTGATTTTTTTTTAAAATATATCTTTATTGATTTCAGAGAGAGGAAGGGAGAGGGAGAGACAGAGAGAGAAACATCCATGATGAGAGAGTCATTGATCAAGCCCGCAACCCGGGCATGTGCCCTGACCAGGAATCGAACCCCGATCGCCTGGATCCCAGGTTGATGCTCAACTGCTGAGCCACACCCGGCCGGGCTTCCATTGATTTTTTAGAGAGAGTGGGAGGGAGGGGGGAGGCAGAGAGAGAGAAACATCGATGTGAGAGACCTCGAGTGGTTGCCTCCCGCACACACCCGACCAGGGGGAGAGCCTGCGACCCCGGCGTGAGCCCTTGGCAGAGTCGGACCTGAGAGTCCGGCGCGCAGGCCGACGCTGTGACCACTGAGCCATGCTGGCGACGGCATGGGGTCTTCCTTTAAATGCTGTTTCCATCACTCTTCGTTCCCAGAGACCCAAATACCGACCTGAAAACTGTGTATTTAGCAGGAGGTACTTGCTGTGGACTGAACCGCGTCCCCGTAGAGCCCATGTGCTGAAGCCCTGACCCTGATGCGATGTATTTGGAGGTGGGGCTTTGGGTTGAGATTAGGGTTAGGGAGGTCACTAGGGTGGGGCCCCCAGGACGGACCCGTGTCCTCATAAGAAGAGGCCCCAGGGAGCGCTTTCTCTCCGCCCTGTGAGGCCACAGTGGGCAGGCGGCCGCCTGCCAGCACATGTCTGACCGTGGACGTCCAGGCTCTGGGCTGAGGGAAGTCCGTTCCTGTTTAAGTCGCACCTGAGCTCAGATGGTGACTCGGGAGAATGCCTCCTTACTGCCTTTGGGGAAGCGCTTTCTCACGTCGGACCCGCGCAGCACGGCCCTGGCTGATGTGGCTCAGTGGTTCCAGCGCTGGCCCGCACCCCGAAGGGCCTTGGTTCTAGTTCCGGTGGAGGGCACGCAGCTGGATTGCAGGCTCGATCCCCGGCCCCGGCTGGGACACGTGTGTGAGGCAGCCAGTGGGTGTGTCTCTCTCACCTCAGTTTTCCTCTCTCCCCCTTCCTCCCTCCCTTCCACTTTCTCCAGAAGCAATGGAAAAAATATCCTCAGTGAGGATTAGAAATAAAAAAAATAAAAATAAAAATAAAACCCACACAGCACAAACCTTAATACCAAAACCGGGATCCGTTAAGTGAAAGATGTCAGTTTAACTGAGGACGTCATGGAAAAGTGAACCCACGACGACCGACGGCAGGAGACGTTTGCAGCCAGTGCCTAAAGCCCAGAGGAGCTTCGCAGACCAGCGCGAGGTTCCAGGCCCCACGTCGGGAGGCGGGCCGGGCGGTTTGCTGGAGAGAGAGGTGGCCGAGAAGGAACGACGGGCCTGGGGACTGTGTCCGGGGTGGAGAGACTCCGCTGGGATGTCCTGGGTGAGGGCCCTCCGGGGCCACCCCTGACCTTTGCAGACACATGTCCTGTCCGCCTGGCACCCCTGGGACCTCGGGCTGTGAGGCTGACGGTGGGTGCAGCCTGTCCTCAGCTCTCCCGAGAGGCTGACATTGGCACAGCCGCTTAGCGCCTCCGGTGGCCTTCTCCGGTGGCCGCCGTCCTGGCCTCGCAAGGGGTGTGGAGGGGCGGCACCCCTTGGGTTCGGTGGGACTGGAGGCTGCCCTCCCGTTTGTTCCTCGCCTTCCCTGGACACTGGTGGGATCGGGGGGCTCTTTGGCCCCAGAACCCAGCACAGGCCCTCATGCTTCAGGGCAGGGCTGTGTCTGTGGACGGGGTGGGGAGTGGGGTCGGGTCACACGTGAGACCAACAGCAGCGGCTCCGGGGCAGCTCCCAGGTCGCTTCCAGATCAGACAGAAAACTGCTTTCCTTTTCACGGGAAGAGGCAGCCAAGGCCTTCTAATGCCATGAAGTGCCGAGGGGGGAGGGGTCGGGGATGAGGGCGGCCGCTCCGAGAGGGGTGGCCCAGCCGCCCTGTCGCACGCGGCCACCGCCTGGACCGTCCGGCCTGGGCCTCGGTTGGCCGTGGCCGAGGGGTGGGGCTCGCGGGCCTTCGTGGTAAATGAGGCTGCGGCTTCCAGCTCAGGGTGGAGGTTCTGTCGGCTCCCGCCCTCGGGGCCGGGAAAGCGCACCTGGGGGACACCTGTGTGGCTGGGGAGGCCCAGCGAGGGTTGTCTGTGGCGCTGGGCTGGGGTCCAGGCAGGGCAGACGCACCTGGCGTGAGCACCGAGCCACCGGGCGGGGGCCGAGGCTTTCCAGGCCCCGGTGGGACGCGGGCTCAGGGTGGGGGGCAGTCATACCCTCCTCCCCTTCCTGGGGCGCTGTGGCATCCCCGTGGCCGGTTTGTGACGCAGGAACGTGACCGCGGTGTGTCCAGTGGGAGGCAGGGTGGCGTTGGGGCTTCAGTGGGTTTCCCCGTCTCCACCTGGAGAGCACAGGACGGGAGAGGTTGCTTTGGGTGGGTGGTGAAGATGCCACATCATAGCGCACCTTTCCGTGGCCCTGCCTGGGAGAGACGTGGGCACGGGCCCGGGCTGTGGCCTCAGCGGGGCCGCACCAGCTGCGCCCAGGCAGGGGGACGGTGCGCAGGGTTCAGCCTCGTGGTGTGCGGCGTTTTGGGAAATACGACCATTGTGAGTTCAAGGGTGTTTTTTAAAATATGAAGGAGGAATTGCAGAGTCATTTCCTAAAGAACCTGTTCGTGTTAGGAGCCCTGGTGGTGTGGTTTTGAAGGAATTCAGTTTTAAACAGTGACCAGAGCTGTCTGCAGGTGTTCCCCTGGGATGCTGGGGCTGAGAAACGGCCCGGCCAGGGGGCAGATGCCAGGGCTGGGAGGCTGGCGAGGAGGGTCCTGGGAGGGGCTCCCGCAACCCCCCGGAGCCCCTGCCCCCCACCCCTGGGTGCTGCCCTCCTCCTCTGAGAAACGGTTCTTACGTGCAGACAGGACAGCTGCTATTTTAAGAATGACTTACTTACATTTTCTGCCCCCTGGAAACAGGAGGCGCAAGGCTGTTGGGTTCCCTGGGTTTGGTTTGCTTCCTGGGGCTCAGCCTGACCAGTGCTTCCCAGGAGCACCCCTTTAGTTAGCCGGCGGGCAGGGAGCAGGCCCCGTGAGCTCCGGGGTGCACCTCCTGCCTGTAGGCCAGCTTCACATTCCTCTTTGGGGAACCATGTGCCATGTGTGGGCACAGCATCCAAGGGTGGTCATTGCATTTTGGGGTGCCGGTGTTGACCTCTGACACTGTTCTGGCTGCAGTCCCCAGAGATGAAGGGTCACGCTCCACACTGTCCACCTCTCCTGAGGGCCAGCCGGGGGATGCAGGTCTCCCCCTCGGTCCATTTCACAACTGAATTTAGGACGTTAAATGGTCCAGCCCTGTGTGTCAGCCTCGCTCGGGGAGCAGCAGGTTAGAACCCGGCTTCTGGTGCAGGGACACGACCTCGCATCTCGCTGGCACCTGCCTCTCAGGACACCTCAGACAGGAAAATGCAGAAAACGGTTGTCTGGACCGACGCCCTGTTCTGGCGGATTCTATTTGCTGGTTTGAGAAATGCTCACCGCCTGTTACTACTTTAGTTTTTTAAGTCGGAGCCCAAAGCAGCGTTTCCAGCATGATCCCATTTTCATAAAAACCGGAATTGGGGGCAGAAGTGGACCAGGAAGGCTGTGCCGAGGGCTCGGTGCCATTCTCTGGACAGTGGGGTCACGAAGGATTTTATTTTTTATTTAACAATTTTTATGTATTGATTTTTGGAGAGGGAGGGAAAGAGAGACCCAGAGAGAGAAACACGGATGTGTTGTTCCACTAACTGATTCCTTCAGTGGTCGACTCTTGTATGTGCCCTGACCGGGGGTTGAACCGGCAACGCTGGCGTCTCGGGAGGATGCTCCGGCCAAGCGAGCCGCCCGGCCAGGGTGCCAAGGGTTTAATTCCTTCTACTGAAGGGATGTGCTCATCGCCCGGGGAGCTTGACCTTCTTTCGACAAGACTGAGCCCCAGTGTGAGGGGAGGGCCGGGGGTCGGGGCCGCTGCGGGTCTCACACGCCTGTGTCTCCTTTCCAGTGACATATTCGATGCCATGTTCCCCGTCACGCACATCGCTGGGGAGACTGTTATACAGCAAGGTACGTCCCCCTCTCCTCCGGAGCCGGGGCTGGCCGGGAAAACCTAACTGCTAATGTAAACTCCTCAGTGTGTGTCTTCATGACTGAGAGCAACCCGCTTAACAGGCTAACCCGACATATTTCAACAGTCGTGCCATTAAAAACCGACGGCCTGTGCTGAGCCCTGGGAATTGGCCAGGACCGCGGGCGTCGGGTGAGGTTTCCGCACAGGGTGTTGGTGACCGTGTGGGAGACGGGTGTTCGTTAGCTGACGAGAGAGGGTCCGCTGGAAATACGCACATCGAATCACCATGTTGTACACCTGAAGTGTAGACGCTTTTAAAAAATATGTTTTATGCCCGGCCGGGCGGGGCTCAGCGGTTGAGCGTCGACCTGGGATCCAGGCGATCGGGGTTCGATTCCTGGTCAGGGCGCATGCCCGGGCTGCGGGCTCGATCAATGACTCTCATCATTGATGTTTCTCTCTCTCTCTCCCTCTCCTTTCCTCTCTCTGAAATCAGTAAAGATATATTATAAATAAATAAGTAAATAAATAATATGTTGTATCGGTTTTAGAGAGAGGAAGGGAGAGGGAGAGAGAAACGTGGGTGATGAGAGTCGTTGCTCGGCCGCCTCCTGCGTGCCCCTGCNGGGTGATGAGAGTCGTTGCTCGGCCGCCTCTTGCGTGCCCCTGCTGGGCATCGAGCCGAAACCTGGGCAGGTGCCCTGACGGGAATGGAACCGACCCCTTTCGGTACNCTCTCTCTCCCTCTCCTTTCCTCTCTCTGAAATCAGTAAAGATATATTATAAATAAATAAGTAAATAAATAATATGTTGTATCGGTTTTAGAGAGAGGAAGGGAGAGGGAGAGAGAAACGTGGGTGATGAGAGTCGTTGCTCGGCCGCCTCCTGCGT